TTAAATTTACCAAAAAAAAAAAAAGGTTTAGAATATTTTGTAAGAACTAGATTACCATTGATGTGTGGGTGACATGGTGGTGAAGAAAACTCTGGTTCTTTCAGGATCAACATTTTTGTCTACCCATTTTACCAAACTCTTCATGGCCATGCCATAAGATTCTTCCATTGGCACCTCCACAGTTTCTTTAACTTCATCTTCAAATGAACCTCCCCTAACAAATATTTCAAAACCAATAAAATAAAACACAAGGATACATATATATATATGCAGATTTCATGATTAACTGAAAATCAAATCAGTCATAATAATCTGAGTAATGTACTTACAATAGTATCTTCAATCCTGATATCCACCAAATATAGGTATTAAACACAAGTATATCTGCTCCTACCCAATGCTGTCCATGCACGTCGATCGAATTATTTCGAATAATTCTATTTGACACTCTATGCTTGTACGGATTATCCGAGTTCGATTCAAGTAGAAATGGGGCCCAATAGAATTCAATTTTCGCTTCGTATTCCTGATTGCATACGTATATACGCACAAAGCAAAATTTTTAGCCGAAAAACGTTAATGTGCCTTAATAAACGGTTTATAATTTTTTTTGTATGACTGTTATTATAGCATCATACTTTTTCAACAAAGCATTACTTTAAAAACCAACATGTAAACAAATGTTAGGCAGTATTTTTGTGTGATTTTTTTTTATGTTTATTTAAGTACATGAGATTTAACATTATGGAAATGAAATTAGAAGTGTAATATTATCACCTTGGCTGTAAATATAAAAAAGGAACCAATCATTTTAAAGGATTTGGCTTGTTGAGGTATGTCACTTTGAAGAAGACAAACCAAGGATGTAAATTGGCCTCGGTTAAGAGAATCACCAACAAACATCATTCTTTTTCCTCTAAGAGCTTCAAGCATTAATGTCGCATTAAAACTGCAGATAGAGTGGAAAAAAAAACGTGCGTAAAATTACATCCAACGGCAGCATTTTAATACATAAACTTGCAATAAAATCTTACACATTGATTCTTGATAATAATGAAAAAATCAAGGTTTTCCTAGTGAAGTCATGATCGAAAATCTTAAGTCATTAAACTCGAAATTATTTTCGAAACAATATGGATATAGCCTAACAAATGTGATTGATGCTTGCTCTGTTTTTACCTTTCTCTTTTTATTACACTCCAATAAAATGTGCAAATATGACTTTTTTTTTTTAAATAAAAAATATATTGCTAACCTAGGAATTGAACATCCATGAGGCTGCCATCTCCAATAACGGTAGTCTTTTTCGGGCCTGCCGTGCTCTAAGCAAGTCAATTGAGGCCCGATAAACGGGCATTCCCATTCTTGGTACAATGGCTCCGTATAATCGCGAACCCATTTCCCGTTAAACACATCACAACCGCTAACATTACTTTTTCCACCAATGGCGAAAGGCAATTTTCCATCCCATTTTGTCTTGCCTAATTTAGTACCCAAGAAAAAAAAAGATTAAACCAAAATAAATGAATCATCAGATCAAAGTATGTGAATATCTAGCACGATCTTGATGTGTTCGTACGAAAATAAAGTTAAAAAACGAAAAAACTCACCGGGCGGTAAGATTAAGGTCCGGTTAGTGGGATAATTAGTATTGTTGGGAACTTTTTGACCATGCATGAAGCAAAAGTCCGTGCAGTAGTTGGAAATGACGACAAAGAGGATGAAAGCTAGCAAGAGAAGTGGAGAGAAAAGGGCTTCTCGGAGGATTGAGGAAAAATGCCATGGCTTCACTATCTGCAGCTTATTGTGATCTCCTTTCTTTGGCATTTTAGGATTACTACTTTTTTTCATGATCCAATGATATGGAGTAGGTTTATGTGTTGATGGGAAAGAAAACAAACATGTATATATATGTTGAAAATTGATACGGCTAATTGCAAAGATAAGTGGCATATCCTTTCTCTATATACACATGGTTATAAACATTTTAACCAATTAATGAGCATTTTGACATAATCTTCCAAGATATTTGGGAGCAATGTTTTTCTTTATAAGTAACACTTGCCGCATTTAGGTAACGAAAAAGGTTACGATCTCAATCCGAATTTCCATGTTTGGATATTTCATTTGTAGTAGACTAATAGTATGTCTAGAATGAATGCTACTACAAATTAGTCGATAATATATGTTTTGAGTAGAATATCGTAACCGAGCAAAGAGTCTAGTGGCCTCAACCGAGTGGCAATGGACTAGAAAACCTCAACGCTCATGTCTCGAAAAATTGAATATTCCGAAAGACAAGCCTGTGCATCCGGTCCACGCCATTTCTCCGCGAACCTTGCAATAAACGAATGAATTTCACTCACAACATTAAATATACACATTTTTCCTTTCCCTCCATTTTCACCCGCCTATTTTCCAACAAAAAACGCAATCAAATATAAACATCAATCCTTGCTAGGCTTCCCTTTTAAGGATAAAACAGCTTCGCGAACAAAAGCTCGTTCCACGTGTCCTGGAGCCCGGGCAGGCACCAGTGCACGCAGTCTGCATAGCTGGCAGGGTTCGCGAGCTGCTCGGGAGTCAACGGGTTCCACTGCTTCTTGTAGATTGACGTGTGCGCGTCCTTTCGGTAGCTCGACAGCTGGGTGATGTTGAGGAATGTAATGGGGACCTTCGATTTCCCAAACACTTGACCGATCACCCGCATTATGCTTTTACGAGAATCCGAGCCCCAATAATTGGGATCTCTTATCATGCTTGTCTCGTTGTAGCAATTGCCGTTTGGTTCTCCTCCCCAGTCGACACTCCTGTAAGGTAAGGTTTCGTTAGAGAGAGAGAGAGAGAGAGAGAGAGAGAGGGAGAGAGAGAGTTGGCTTACTTTCCATGAGAAGGTGACATGCTAGTGAAAAAGACTCTAGTTTTCTTGGGGTCCATATTTTTCTTAACCCATCTCAACATGCTTTTCATTGCCATACCATAAGCTTCCTCTGTTGAGACCATCACAATCTCTTTCTTTTCATCATCAAAAGATCCTTGCCTGTTAATAAACATAAGAACTTCACAGTCAGAAAATTACAAGAAAGAAAAGAAAAATGTTCCTGAAAGATAAATATGAGTGAAAAATATAGAATTCAAGATAATCTTTTCGAAATTAGAAAAAAACCCATGATACAGAATCTATTTCTGATGGGAATTAAAAGAGATTGGAGATTGAATTTATACAGTATTTTGAATTCCTGGCCTGTCATCCACCATAGGTAAGTATTGAAGACCATAATATCCACCCCTTTCCAGTGTTTTCCATGCTTGTTTATCGAGCCTTTTCGCACGACTCTATCGCTTATTCTGTGTACAACGGCATCGTCTGAATTGGATTCGAGGAGAAATGGAGCCCAGTAGAACTCAATTGTTGCATTGTAATTCTAAAACACAGAGAAAAAAAAAACAGAGATATTTGTGAGCAGTCGTGTAT